TACATTAGTGTTTAGTTCCAACGTCATTCCGCCATACTGGCACATAAATTATCATTTTAGAATTATATAGCGTTTCAATAAGGTTTCATTGCCACTTGGTCCTGGAGTCAGCTCTCCTATAAAGTACATTAGTGTTTAGTTCCAACATCATTCTGCCATACTGGCACATNAACAAACACTAATTAATAAAACTAATGATAAAATGAATTCAATTTTCACAACAAATGAATTGAAAGCCAAACACAAAACATGTGCTCAAAAGTGAAGGCAATCACTGAATGACTGCTCTCTCTATTGACAACACTTTTCAACACTAATTCTATCAAAACTTTTAAACTTTTTTTAATGAAAAATTTTGTTAAACATAATCTTTGAAAATATGATTTAATATAAGAGCACATCCATTGACTACGATTAGCTCAATTTCTTTGATAATGAGCAGATATTTGATACCATCGATGACTTGTGACTGACATTTGGATAGTCTAAAGTATTGTTTTTGACTACTTATATAATTAATCATCACTTCTATACAAATAGGCAATCAATATATTTTTCATATCCCTCAAAATTATCAATTAATTTAATAACATTTTTGTGGTTGTATTTATTCATAAATTGTAACAATCTTTATATTTTCAGTATAATATTCTAGTTTTATTTTCAGTAAATTATTACAAAATTAAGTAAAATTGACAACAATTGACATTACATTACATCTGCTGTTATCTATTAAATTTTATATGTATCGCGTGATTGAGTTTGCATTTAAACATAGATTTGAATTTCTAATTCAATACAGATTTAAAACAGACATTAATATCATCTAAAAATTCAATTCAAACCCCTTTTTGTTTGTATTTAAAATGTATTTAATATTAATTGTAATTTCGTTGTCTGTGAATGGATTGTATGCTTCGGGCGGTCAAGACATCTGTATTGACGGATACATCGATTCCATCACTCAATTGCAGAATCACTCGATCGCTGTCTTCAAAGCCAAAAATGTATGGCTTTTAGACGATAAAGGATTGAACGGTCCGTTCAGTACATCTCAGTTGTATCACAATATGACGGGTGGTGTGGAGTCTGCGGTCACTTTCTTTATGCACGACTCGGTCACTGAGTTCATCGGCACCGGACTCTACTTCAATGAAACCCATTTCATGACTTTTCGCAATTTCAAGCGCTTTGACATCGAGTGGGCGTCACTCCTATACATACCCCATATGGGCCTCAAGAGTGACATCGGCTCTCTCACCACCAATAAAACAATCAGCCAATGGATGTCCGGCCCGACCGTCGCCTCCTATTTCGATCCCATCGACCGAAGGGCTCGCTTCGTGTTTCCCGACGATAAAGTGTTGTCATTTAACTTCGAGTTGGGATACCAGACATCTCTGCCCATCGTTTCCACCGTAACCGAAGAGATGGATAAATACGGCATTGCTATCGACCAGAAATTTCAGGCGGCGTTCATTACCAGAGAGACAAAGGGATGGATATTGTATTTGTTTGCAAACGACAAGTACTGTCGACAAGACTTGACCGACGCTTCCGGAAATATAGTCAAATTGAGCCGAAAGTGTGTCTGGAATTCAACCAAAGAGTTCCTCAAATGTGACAAATATAAGCCCTCCTATAACCCAGTGTCCAAAGGAGACAATAGTTTGAAAGCAATGCAAACCACAGCCCGAGTGCCCGCCGGACAGGATATGAGAGCCAAAGACTCGCCACAATCCGGTGCTAATCATCTCCCGGTCCTCACAAATGCCGTATTTCTCACTCTTTATGTATTATTCAATCAATTGTTTCGTTAATATATTTATTATTTTTATTGGAAACTATTTTCTATTCAAAAAAATGATTGAATTTTATGTATTTGTAAATTAAATTAAATTGTCATTTGTTTTATTAAATTTTTCGAAAACTATTTGTTTTTCCTAATAAAATATCAGTTGATTTGACATCAATTTGTATTTGTTTTTCATTTGAATTAAACGTCAACACAATTAATGAATTGCTTTTATAAATTCTGTAGAGAAATGACATTTAAATCTAAACAAATTTATTAAATATTCAATTCAAAAACCCAATGTTTTGAAAAATTAATTATGAAATTGTTTTGAGTTAAAGTCTTTTAAATATAAAGTTAAAATCTTTATATTACAATTGTTGTAAAATTAATATGTAACTAATGTTTAATTTTTAACATAAAATATTTAATTTAATAAATTACGGTGTATATCAAATCTCAATCATATCTCAAATACTTTACAAATAAAATGATTTATTGAAAAATGTATTGCAATTTCGTTGACATATTTTAAGACTAATTTTGTAATTATTATCTAATTATTGAATAAAAAAGACATAATTATAAACATAAATAAACTTAAGTCCATTATTCTAACTTACGCGTGATTTTGCGTTTCATAAAAAAGTGCAAGATAAGTTCGTAAGTCAAGTTTATGTTAGGCGTAAGTCTAGAAGCAAAGAGTTAAATAGCCATCAGTTTATAGTTGCGTTTCATTAAACTCCGTAAGTCCTAATTTGTGCGCTTAATGTACGCCAACCCTTGCCTTCACTCGACCCTCACTTTGCATATGCTTTGTATGCAGAGAAAGGAGAACGCGTGTGTAAAGTGAGTGTCCGCTTCAATGCAATACCCTCTGTGATGTCCAGTGCGTAAAAATTGGTTTTGACTCACAGTTTGGCACATCAATTATCTTAGAATTATATAACGTTGTAATAAGTTTTCATTGCCACTTGGTCCTGGAGTCAGCTCTCCTATAAAGTACATTAGTGTTTAGTTCCAACGTCATTCCGCCATACTGGCACATAAATTATCATTTTAGAATTATATAGCGTTTCAATAAGGTTTCATTGCCTGAACCAGGACCTCAGTCGAGAGGATATTTCATGATTAGTGTTTAGTTCCAACATCATTCTGCCATACTGGCACATCAATTTTGTTTTAGAATACACTAACGTTTCAATTGGTTTTCATTGCCACTTGGTCCTGGAATCAGCTCTCCAATAAAATACATTAGTGTTTAGTTCCAACGTCATTCCGCCATACTGGCACATAAATTATCATTTTAGAATTATATAGCGTTTCAATAAGGTTTCATTGCCTGAACCAGGACCTCAGTCGAGAGGATATTTCATGATTAGTGTTTAGTTCCAACATCATTCTGCCATACTGGCACATCAATTTTGTTTTAGAATACACTAACGTTTCAATTGGTTTTCATTGCCACTTTGTCCTGGCGTCAGCTCTCTTATAAAGTACATTAGTGTTTAGTTCCAACATCATTCTGCCATACTGGCACATAAATTGTGTTTTAGAATACACTAACGTCTCAATTGGTTTTCATTGCCACTTGGTCCTGGAATCAGCTCTCCAATAAAATACATTAGTGTTTAGTTCCAACATCATTCTGCCATACTGGCACATAAATTATCATTTTAGAATTATATAGCGTTTCATCATTGAATGCTAAATTGATTGAATCCAAAAAGTTGCGAGATACCGCTATTACCAGTTTGGAGAGTTTGGACACTAACCGGTCGACTATAGCTGACGTTGTCTGGTATGTATGACTTGTTTGATTATTCTTGCCTTTTCTTTATTGCAATTTTTACTATATTAAGAGTGAAAATATGAATACTATACTAATATTGATAAAATAGTAACTTATTTATTATTTCAATAGTATTACAAGTTTATATACCGATAAATTTGAGGCCATGTTTGAGGACAAGTTGGCGCGCGATAGTGTCCGCAATGTCGGTGTTTTCTATCGTGAAACTGTAGATTTTGGCAAAAGTTTGAGCGTGGTGAAGGGCAGTGCAAAATGCACACTTATCGACACGCCCGCACCAAATATTACGTACCGCACATTTTTATTGCCGTTGATTAAAACAATCGATAGGTTACTCAAAAGTATGACATTGTATTTATTCTTACAGATTGTGTCGATTTTATTGTTGTTGTTTCCAAATGTGTAATAAATATAATTCTACTATTTTTTTATATAACAGATGAGCCGGTGGCTGAGAGTGCGGATGTGGTGACCGACAGATTAATAGGTCCGGCGCTCGGTATTGGAAACGGCCGACCGTTTCCCGACACGGAAGCGGGCGCTAAGAGTTTCTGTTCGGGTGTATTTCGATTGTATGTCAATCATTCATTCGTTCGCTAATTTGCATAAATATTATAATAATTGAAATAACATTTGACGACAAATACTTGTGTCCACACATAGGACCGAACAAAACGTGTCGATTCCTCAAAACTATTACAATACGTTGGGAGAGAAAACGTTGAAAGCGGTTACTGTTATCGCCCGACCCGATGGTTACGAAACACTGCGGGGCTTTTGCGGGTTCGCAGACCCCGTCAAACTGGGCCGTGGATTAAACATCAATCTCAAAGAGGCCATTACTTTGCGCGATAACGTGGTCAATTATTTGGATAATGCTAATATTGCTAACACCACTTTGGCTGATGTGATTTGGTAGGCGTTTTGAGTGATAATTACAAGCAACTTATATATAATATAAATTATTATTTATTCATGTGTAGCGTAATTAGATTGCACTTTTTAGCCAAAGCCCCTAAAATATTTGAGGATCAATTTGCGCAGATTTATATTCAACGAATCATGAATTTATACGCGGAAATAGTGGATGCGGCCGAACGAATCGCCATGGTCAAACCAATTAATACTTGTACTTTTCCAATTGGCAATTATCCTGGTCAAAACAAATATTTAACTTTCTATGTGCCAATGCTTAATACAATCAGTAGATTTATGAAAGGTATTTATGTATAATATTTATTGGACAATACAAAAAACTTTATATTATTTTATTATGCCTATAATTAAAGTTTTAATAAACTATAATTATTGTTGTTTTTTGTTGCAATTATTTAAATAAAAGCCTTGTAATTATGCTTGAAATAAATGTAGAAAATAATAGTTGTTAATAAATATGAAAAGTTTTGTAATGAATATCAATATATTTTAATTTTAATTAATATGTTTACATTAATTAATATGACTTTGAATATGGATTCTAATATTTGAAATAAATGTAGAAAATAATAGTTGTTAATAAATATGAAAAGTTTTGTAATGAATATCAATATATTTTAATTTTAATTAATATGTTTACATTAATTAATATGACTTTGAATATGGATTCTAATAATTAAATTGAAAATAGTGGTTTTTATTTATATACCACCTGTGGATTTGTGGATAGTTTACCAATAAATTGTATTATAAAAAACAATAATAAACTCTATTTCACATCATGACCAGCAACTCGACAATTAATATATTAATAGTGTTATTGAAGTTTTTAATATTTTGTAGTCTTGTAGGTATAATGGAAACGCGGAGATGAGAGAGAGAGAGAGAGAGAGAGAGAGAGAGAGAGAGAAAGGTAAATTAATAATTTGCTAAGAGACAATTAATTTGTGTAGATAAATCGACCGAGTTATTGGAGAGCACAATAGACGACACATTTAACCGCTTGGTTTGTATCGATAGAAGACATCCATTGCCCGAATCTAAAGAAACCGTTGAAATTTACTGCAATCAAAGTGACAGCAAAATTGCTAATTAGTCAGTACTTTATATAACTTTTATGACTATTATTTTACATTTATATTATTATTAATGATTTGTTTCATCAGTAAAAAGGATGTGTCCATGTTTTTTAAATCGTTGGGCGCGAAGGCCCGGTACGTGTCGCTCAATTTGAACGGAGCACCGGACAGGTTTGCAAAATTACAGGCCTTCTGTCGGGCCACAGACCCGGTCGCACTCGGCCGCGCCATTAACTCGAAACTGACCGAGGCCAAACGCATCAGGGAGAACGCTGTGGGCACCATCATAGAGTTGACCAAGGGTAATGACAATATGCCCGATCTACTCTGGTAAGCAAATATTTTTGTTAAAAATTTTGTTTAATAAACCCTTCTAATTGTTTTCTCCTAATTACCAAGATTATTTGTTATTTTAGTATTATTATTTAGTATTCAAGCAAGTTTTAGAATAATTTATGAATAAAAAGTTTAATAATTTTTTAAAAATCAACAAATAGTTTATTATTTGTTTAAAATTATATTTAATGGAGTTTTCTAGTTGTAAATAATTATTACTAAATATACATTTTTATATGAATAACATCAAATACACTCGACTATACTATTAGCGCAATAAAAGCATATACGGACCAAATGGTGAATCTATACGGACAGGTGGATGACAATACCCGCACTTTTGTCAGTCAAATCATGAGTCTGTACAATGATATGGCCGACTCGGCCGCTAAACTGTCGGTCAAAGCGAGCACCGGGTGTGACATCGAGAACGGCCATAAGCTTGAAGGCGCGCAAAAGTACAAGTCGTTTCTGTTCCCAGTGTTTAAGGCTTTTAATAAGTTTCTTAAGTATACGCCAGACGTGACAATGGATATCGCATATGAGAGAGTGATTATGATTGGCACCGGACGGCCCTATCCCGACACCGACGAAGCCTTAGAGCAGTACTGTAACGAACATTACTACCAATTGTAAGTAATTTTCTAATTTTTATGTTGCATTTGTAATTTTGTTAATGTGGCATATACATGGTTTAATAACTAAATTAATAATATAAATTTTATGGTTTCCATGATTGAACAATGCAAATGAATACAGCTCAGTTGAAGTGTCGTCGGGCACATTGTTCTACAACTCGCTGAACCCGTCCACTAGGAGTGTGACCAGCATTCTGTATAAAATGGGGAATTACTGCAAATTGTTGGCCTTCTGTCAACTGTCCGAACCAATACAAGTAGCCAAGAGTCTCAACTCTAAACTAGATGAAGCGAAAAAGTTATTTGATAGCGCCATAGGTTATATGGCAAACGTGATCAACACTACTGAAGCACTTTCACAAGTAATTTGGTAAATGATCATTTGATAACATTTGGTCCATAGTTGTTTCAATTTAGTTAATTGCAAATAAAAATAATTATAAAATTGATAAATTAACATAAGAGATAAATTAATACTTTTAAATAATTAATAATTAATTAATATTATTTTAATTTGTTCCGAAAAATATTAAATCGTTAATAATTCATTTTATAATAGTTAAAATATTTACTAAAAATAGATTTTATAATCAATTAAACAAAAACGTATAACAATTCAACTCATTTTCAACAGTACAATAAAAGCATTGGAAAGTCAGACAAACGCCCTGTTTGTACAGTCGGATGAGCCGACCCAAGTGTATGTCCGCAATGTTATGTCAGTGCTTCGGGAAATGGCAGACGTGGCCGAGAATATGACGAGTAAAGCGGTCGACACGTGTGACTTCAGCGAAGGTCTTAAGTATAAATCGGAACACAAATATCTGTCACCTCTTTTGCCATTTTTCATGACTGTCGACAAGACTTTCAACGGTTAGCAATAATAAACAATAACAAAGAAAGTGAGAAAAACAATTAAATCTAATGACAATATAATTATATTACAGAGAAATACGTGTCTGAAAGCGCGGAGCAATCATTTGACAGAATGCTCGACAATTTTATGGGCATTGGGAACGGGAGACTATTCCCAGCAACTGACGAGGGTACTAAATATTATTGCAATCAACCATATAGCAAATTGTAAGCAAATATAGACTACTAAATTATTAAGCTGCAATGATATGATTAATTTAATGACAATAAATCAAATTAATAATTTAACAACCATTCAGTTGGCCCCGAGACCTACAGTTGGCCGATAAATTCTTTCGCTCATTTGGCAATAATAAGACATACGATTTGATTACGGCGTTCACGCGGCCCAACATATACATACTATTTAACTGGTTTTGCAGTTCACCCGATCCGACTAAATTAGGTAAAACGATTAATGCCAAATCTGTTGTGATCAAAAATTTGCGAAACAATGTAATCAGCAACATGGTCAATTTGGACACACGCAGCGACAGCATTGCCGATGTAATCTGGTACGTTTTATAAGTTTATAAATTCCTTGAGCTTTTGGCAACACTAATAATAAGCCCTAATTATTTCAGTAATACTAAATGAGCAAAAATGGTTACTTTTCATTATGTATTGGATTAACAGTTATATTAGATTATACGCGACTAAACTTGTGGATGTGTTTGAAGGGGACCAATTATCACATGATAATGCTATACGTGTAACGCAGTTGTATCAAGAATTTGCCACTTTGATAGAGACTATGACCATGGTTAAAGGCACCACTAATTGCCAGTTAAAAGATCTATCGAAAATGGGAAGCGATTATCACAAGTATAAGACATTTTTGGTGCCGGCGGTCAAAACTGTCGATAGGTTTATAAATGGTATGAAAATGTTTTGTAAATTACAAACGAATTAAAATATTATCTAAAAGTAAATATCTTATTTTTATGTCATGTACATATTTGCCCTCTATTACAATCATTGTTATATTTGTATTTCTATTTAAACGACAGGTAATACAAATGCAGACATTACAAGTGTATCCGATTCCAGCAATAGTCTAATCATTGATGAGGTGGTGGACAATGTCTTCTGGGCGGCCACTTTCCACAAATACCCGGAAACTGATGCTGAGATCGCGCAAAGCTGTAAGCACAGCATAATACCCGAGTAATTCTTTTTAATAATTTTGTAATTTATAATATTGACACTTGTTAATTGACCATGATCTACCATCACAGACAAAAAGTATCGAGTATGTTGTTTGAGTTCATGAATACACTGAATGTAAAAACGCGACAAATTGCCGCTCAATTCTATGCGTCCGAACCGGAACTGAAAGGGTTGTATTGCCAACACTCGGCTCCTCTAAGTGTGTCCAAAGCCATGAATGACAAATTGGAGGCGAGGCATACGCTGGTCGACAACGCGTTGGGCAGCTTATTGAAATTAAATGACCAGGCCACAGCTACCATGGCTGATGTTTTATGGTATGTTTGCTTACATACTTACCTGTATATTAACTAATAAATAATTATTTTATTTGCAAATAAATTAACATGTACGATTAAAGCATTATCAATTCATATGGCACTCAATTTGCAGCTATATATGACGCAAAGGATCCGATTGTGGGCCCGTATATAAGCCAATTGGTCGCCAGACTATTGAAACTCATTAAAACAGTAGAATTATTGTCCACCAAACCGGCGGACACGTGTGACATAAGCGACGGTCACAAGTATTTGCCCGAAAATAGCAAGTTATCACTCCTGACACAGTTGTTGAGAGTGTGTAATAAATTAATAACAGATAATTGAGATGCGATTTAATAGTTATTCAACATCCTTTAGGCATTCAAAATTATTTAATTAATTATTAATAATGTTTTCAATGAGTTGTTTTTGGTGTTTTTTATAAATATGCTAAATGTCTCATTTGTAAAATAAAAATGTAATATTTGTCTACATTTTATAATATTAGGACAATTAAAATACAACTTTTATGTTTCAAAAATATGCTCCTTATAAATTTGATACGTACTTTTAAAAATATATAAAATGAACATGATGAGATTTTGAATAATTATTCAGCTTTAACAAGGATGCGTTGGGGCGTATGTCCTCAAAGTAATCAGCATTTATGTCGAAATGGTTTTAAAGCCAAATAATTTTTGGTCAAATCGGCCGATAAGTGTGACCTCAAAGACAGCACTAAATATCAATCACAAAACAAATACCTGACACTATTGTTGCCGGTGTTGAAGGCATTCAATGTGTTTGTGTAATTATTTATATTCACAGATATGTATTGTTTGATTTGACTCATTAATTTATTCATTCAATTAACTAGGTAAACAACGATTAATATAAAAGCCATTAATTTATTAAAATCGATACAAAATGTGAATAATTTTTAAAGTAATAAAATTAATTGTTGTATTAATACTAAATATGTAAAACAATGCAAAATATAAATAAAAATTTTAAGCAGTTAGGTTTAAATTGGTGTTCAAAGTACACGACCGGTGGGAACAATAAGGTTCGGGGCATTCAGTTTGGGGCACACATAGGCAACTAAATAGGCAACAACTACCCGAGTTGAGAGCAATGCCGCCGCGAGCGAAACACGTGAAAAAGATATGGAGGGCCAGTGTTAGGAGGAATGTGGTGCCGCACCGCTTCAATCAGCGCAACGACCGGTGGGGTCGACCCGACGACCAGCCCATACCATTGCCCGGACGACGACACGTATACACAAACACGGATACCCAACAAGTCGACCAACAAGTCGACCAACAAGTCGACCAACAAGTCGACCAACAAGTCGACCAACAAGTCGACCAAATTAGAGAGTGTTGGGTATGTATGGAAGACTTGACTCCGCAGAACCCGCGTATGCCCTACGCGTGCCAATGCACAAATCCGGATCGCCAGGTGCACTACCACTGCCTGGCCAGATGGATGATTTTCAATCGTGACACCCCCTGTCCCATATGCAGCACCCAATTCAATGACCCGCGCATTGTCCGACTGTTCAGAGACGGCGGACCGATCGGCGGATACGTCCACCAGCGAGCCTGGAGGCGACACACCCGCCAACAAATTGCGCGGTGGCTGTTGGGCGGCCGGATCGGCTTCGGCACCATTGTTATGGTGGTCACAGTTCTGGTGATTTTAATCTTTGGGCTTTTTGTCGTTGATTCGGTGTTCATGCCATTGCCGTTGGCACTGGTGTCGCGGCCGTCGGTCTGGGCTCCCATCGCAGCGGTGCTGGTGTTGATCCTCTACGGCAGTAGCCATCCCTTCCGCGGCCGAGTGGGTTACGAGCACTGGACCCGAATGAACACAATCATTCACTTTAACGATTTGGGTATTGGAGAGAACTTGTTGCCCGTGGTAGAGCCCGGAGCCACGCAAGTGCTGGACATGCAGGTGGCACAAGACCAGTACGACAATAGACAACTGGCCAATTTTGTGTATCAACAGGCACCAGATCACCAGGCGCTGATGATCGCGCAGATGTCTCACCAGCAATTGGTTGCAATGCTTCAGGTCATGACTGCCGGAGACAGGAATCTACTAATCGCCCGAATGCCTCAACCCAGACGGGGCCTAATCATGCAAGTGTTTGGCCTCAATTACCAACAGCTTTACATGCCAGTGCCCCAACATTAGTAGTTTGCTTACAGATTGCCCGCCGCACCCACTGGTACTCAATAGGTGTTTGTACTCTATTGTAGTGTTTAAGGAAACACTGTTTCAATAGTAAAAGTATTTTTCAGTAATATCTTTGGTTAAAATTTTATTAATTATTGAGTCTTACTTTACAAATGAAATGCAAATATTAATTCATATCATATTTTTATATGAACTTAAAAATCCAAATGCCAATTGATCTCATGGTCACGATTCTGACCCGAACTCCGCGGCCATTATTTACAAATATACTTAATCTATTGTCAAATCATATGCGAAATCATGTAATGCAAGAGCTCTACCCAACGCTCGTCCACTCATACCCTCTAATCCACAACAGCAGCCAAAACTGCCGGTGCAGTCAGTGTTAAGTCAATACACAATTAAGTGCAATAAATAGTGCTTTTCATAGATTTAGTTAGTATAGAGTATATACGGCTACAGTCTATTAAGTATTCAATTTAACACAAAATCATTGCATTTTAACAAACATTTCAAAATCAGTATTAAATAAAAAGACATAAAATTTAAAACACAATATATTTATTGAATCATTGATTGAGAGAACTGGTGAACACTCTTTGACTGATCCCACGACAGACTCACACAGTCTTTAAAGACTGGTACGGCTTCTCCTCCGCCTTCGTCTCCTTCTCGTCCGTCGCCGCCGTCGGGGACTGTCGTCGTGTCTGTCACCCCATCTCATACTCCGGGCGCGCCCTGACCTCTGGCCCCGTCTCGACCGACCGCCTCTTCCCCTCAATAGAACGCGTCTTCTGGTCGACAAACTGATTCGGAGGCGACCGCCGCCTCTGCCAAGTCTTCTCAGCCTCAGGCGTTCGCGTCGTCGGCGCCGTATCTCCTGCTGTCTGCGGGCCTCTGCCATCTCGTGGGGCCGTCGCGGCAGTCGACACAATTGCCGGCCTCGCCTGTAGTATCCCATCGCGTGGTAGTCCACGTTATCGTTCCCAAACATACCGCCGGAAGAGGACTGGCGTTGCGGTTGTGGTTGTGGTTGGGACTGACCACTCGGTGTACCACTCGGTGTACCACTCGATGTACCACTCGATGAACCACTTGACGACTGACCACTCGAAGTACTACTCGATGTACCGCTTGCCTGACCCCTTGGCTGACCGCTTGATTGGGCAGTGGATTGTGCGCCGGACTGTCCGGTGGTCTGCGCGGGTCTATTGGTGTTGGCGTTGCTTTGGTTGGCGGCCATAGCTTTCGGTCGAGTCTTCAACTGTCTCTTAGTGTGACTTTCGGCCGGAGGTTCGCCACAAAATTGTAACGACTTTTTGTCGCTATTATTGGTTTAAATTTTAAATTTTATATTCAATTTGTATTTTTAATATCACGTTCATTTTAGGAATTATAAGTATTGTTTAATCAGTTTACTACTGCTGTCTCAGTTAAACAGTTAGAAAATTTGTTAATTATTGAAAATAACAAAATGATTGTTAAATTACAATAAAATTTCATTTAATTGTTGAACAAAATTGCATATTAAGTGAGGGAAGAGGGAAGGGGTAGAGCAAGTGTTCATTCAAACCGTAAGTATAAGTGGCCGCTAACTTAGGGGGCCATCACTACCAGCGCTACTCAACCCTTCCATCCCAATGGATCCGCCAGAGGACCCGAATGATCACCCGGAGAAGGCGTTTAATTTCCCCCGGTGCTATTTCTGTCAATTATACTTTACGAGCAATGATGGGGGAGTGATCGCCCCCTGCAACTGCCCCAATGATATGGGACTGTATCACTTGGCTTGCATTGAGCGGCAGATAATGGCCACCCGAGACGCCCCGTGCAGACACTGTGGCGCTCACTTCGAGGACCCCCGCATCACGCGGTGGTTCAGCGGCGGCGGTGTTGTGGGCGGACCAGAGTATCGGCGCCAATACGGTCGACTCCTCTGGCGTCAGCGCCTGGAGTCGATTTTTACCGAACTTAGTCTAATAGTTAGCTTAGGCCTATTAGTTTTCCCGTTTCTCTTTCTGCTGGCCATATACGGCTCCATCGACCCAATTGGCGCCGACGAAGTTGTATCGTCGCTCTGGTTTTGGTGCCTTTACGGCCTGACAGTCGGTGTGGGAGTCGTTGTCGCCAACAATTCGTTTGGAGACTTGGAGGCAGTGATGAACCGGTGGACAGCACTCAACACAATCATACATTTGTTTGACTTCAATCCGGACCGAGAGATGGGTTATGAGCGCAACTCGTTTGTCGCCTACGACATGGCGGAGGCGCACGAAGAGCACGAGTTGGAAGAGTTGGTCCGTTTGGTGAGCCAACAGGTGCCACGGGATGGGGCGGATATGATAGTTCAGATGCGCCCCTCTATGGCGATCACTGTTATGGCCCGAATTCCGCAGCCATTATTCGCAGATATACTCAATCTCTTACCAAACCTTCTGCGATATCATGTGATGGTCGCACTCTATCCCCCATTCCCACCCCCACTCCCGCCCCCACCCCCTCCCCCTAATCCACAGCAGTAGTAAAACTCCCGGTCCGTCATCTCTTCCCCGGTGTTCCCCACTTTCGTTATCGTAGTGTTAAGTCTATACACAATAAGTGCAATAAATATTGGTTATCATAGATATTGTTAGACTTAGATATGAATTAAATATCAGATAAATTGAAATAATATTTTCAATGATTTATATTTGAAACAAATTAACGTTAATTTATTTATCAAAGCAATTATCTTAAACCCAGGGCTCTCTGGCGTTTGTGAATACATAGTAACACCGATTGTACTCATTGTTGAGCACATTGGCGGACATCTGGCACTCGTCGGCATAGTATCCCATCTCCGCCTCTGTGTCCACGCATTTAAGCCGATGGACAGCCGTTTCCACTCCGGGATCGCCTTCCAGTGCCAGCCGTGTCTTCAATTTGCCCATATTATCAATACTCCATATGAAGTAATCGATGGCTCGGGTGTGGCTTACGGTAAATCCGCTGCCATACGGACTAACCGGTCCTTTCGGTGCCTCCCAATCAGTGACCAACATATATGGCTTGTGCTTTGAGCCGTCGTTTGTCGGCTGATCCCAACCGTAGTTCGGGTAGAAGTCGAGCGAACCGAGCGGTACGAGTGTTCCGTAATAGGGGACAGACTTGCCGTCCGTATGGATCACATCGACGAGTCGGGCGTCCGTCGGCCGCAACCGTTTGTCCAGATTCTCGGTCTGAAAGCCAACGCCCGCCGGATCTAAACCAGTGATTCGGTCGATAACGGGAACACTCGCGTCGCCGGTGGCCTCACGACCCGCCGCTCCCATCAGGTGAGCGCCCAGACTGTGACCCACTGTCCATATGAGCACAGAGTCGCCAAATCGTTGCCTAATTGTCCGCAAATAAGTGGCCAACCATTTGCCGACTGCGAGCGCATTACTGGCCGCCTGTTCGTAGTTATAGACACCGATGTCGGCGCCCGACCCCCAGCCCACAATCACCACCGTTTGGTCCGCTCTCTCGGCAATCATACGAGACTTCATTGTGTGTAACCATTGTTTGTGTTTATCGGTACGAAAGCCATGGGTTATAAATACGACTCGTTTGGCTGGCAATAAGTCTT